ACCTGTGAGACAGTGGTCATGTGTTCAGAAAAAGGTCAAGTAGAATATACTCAAACCATCAGTGTGGCAGGTAGAGCACTGCTGTGAGATATTTGATTCCACTGTCTAAAGATATGTCACTGTGATTGGCTTAATAAAAAGCTAAATGGCCAATAGCCAGGCAGGAGGTATAGTAGGAACTTCTGGACACAGAGCTCTGGGGAGAAGAAAGGCAGAGTCACCAGCAGACGTAGAGAGAACAGACTTGCAGTAGGAGAGGTAAAAGCCACGAGTCTCTGGCAACACGTAGATGAATAGAAATGTGTTGATTTAAGTTATAAGAGCTAGCACGACAAGCCTAAGCTATAGGCCAAGCTTTTATAATAGTAAGTCTCTGTGTCGGTGTTTTTTGTTTGTTTGTTTTTATTTTGTGAGCTGAAGGCCCAAAGAAAAATCTGCCTAAGTAGGACTGTATGAAAGTTCTTACTTTTTACTCTATATACATCTATAGAGTTTGAGTATTTTGCAAGAAACAGGCATTGCCCTTGTGGTTGGAAGCTACTGAACTGTAGAATTCATTTCAGAGAGGCCTGTGCACCCAGATCCCTACTCCAGCAGTGCAGGGGAGTGCCTGAGCCAGCTTCTTGCTCACACTGGACCCCCTGGAGAGCTGCAATGGCACCCCAGACATTTGGATTTTCCAGAAGCTACTGGCAGGCCCTATGTAGTGACCTCTGTGAAGTCCCCATTGACCAGGAGAGAGGAAGTGCAGGAAGAGGGGGCAGGATTCCGCCTTCCCAAACCCCGGCCCTCACCAGGCAAGGCTCAGTCTAGGATTCTTTCTCAAGAACATTGTGGCGTAAGGTGTGGATGCCAGGCAAAGGCCAGAAGGCTGGGAGTAGAATCCCAGGAGTCACCTGACCCCTTGGAGAAGGGTTTAGAGCCTGGACAGAAAAGCTGCCTCTGAGGCTGTCCTGCTGCTGTGGTTTTGAAGTATATTTTCAGAAAATGCCAACACACATGGTGCTGTGGGATGTTAATGTATGTCCTGTGGGAGCCCTTCTTGGGTTCCTTGTGGCGTTACCCAGCAGGTTTGCATAGAGGATGATTAGGACCATGGGCCTGAGTGCAGGTGTCTGAGATGGTCTGCACTTGGCTGTACTGGGGGATGGTCTGTATGTCAAGTTGCTCTGATTGGTCAATAAATAAAACCTGATTGGTCGTGGCTAGGCAGGAAGTATAGGCGGGACTAACAGAGGAGAAATAAAAGGACAGGAAGGCAGAAGGAGACGCTGCCAGCCACTGCCAGGACAAGCAGCATGTGAAGATGCTGGTAAGCCACGAGCCACGTGGCAAGGTATAGATTTGTAGAAATGCGTTACTTTAAGATATAAGAACAGTTAACAAGAAGCCTGCCACGGCCATACAGTTTGTAAGCAATATAAGTCTCTGTGTTTACTTGGTTGGGTCTGAGCGGCTGTGGGACTGGCGGGTGACAGAGATTTGTCCTGACTGTGGGCAAGGCCGGAAAACTCTAGCTACACACATGGTATGGGGTTCTGGCATGCGTGCGTGCGTGCATGTTTAACGTGTTCAAGCACAGCTTTATTATAATTTCGAAAAACTCTTCTGCTGACATCACCAGATTTTTTTTAAGATGGGGTCTCACATAGCCCAGGCTAGCCTCAAATTCACTGTGTAGCTAATGATGACCTTGAACTCCTGATTCTCCAGCCTCCACCTCTCAAATGCTAACATGGCAGGCATGAAGGCATGCACTAGCATACCTGGTCTTATGTGGTGCTGAGCATCGAACCCAGGGCTTCATGCATGGTACACAAGCACTCTACCAGCTGAGCTACACTACCAGCTAGGTATCAGTTGTTCCAAAACCTTCCTATTGTACAAGCATAAAGACAGGTAGACTCCAGGCTGGACTGTACACATTGTTTCCTTCTGATCTTAAAGGAAGTTAAAATACAGGAGTCCAAGAGTTACTGTGTGTGGGTTCCAGCACCACACCCCTTATGCTTGACAGGCAGACCAGCCTGCACTCAAGGTCCCCAACAGGAGAGCAGTGAAGGCTCTAAAGAGGCAGAGGTGGCCTTGAGAAGCCTTACTTCTTTCCTTGGTCATTTCGGCCGCCGGTGCTGGAGGACAGTATCCGCTTGTCCTTGGGACCCTGGGAGGAGAAGAAGGAAAGATTGACAGGTTGTTCTTGGCTGGGACCTGGCTACTGGGAGCCTCCTAAGGGGCTGAGGCCAGGCCCTGGAATGCTTGGGAGAAAATAGTTGAAGCTGCCTGGTGCTCTAGCCACCACTGAGACTGAGCCCAAGCGACGGGGGAAAGTTCTTCCCTGAGCTTTCTAGTTGAGAACATGGGAGTGGGAGTCAGACTTGCCTGGCTGACTTACCTCACCATTTAAAAGTGCTGTGACTTTGGATAAATGACTATCTCTCTGAGACTCAGTGTCTTCAAATGTTAAATGGAGGATTATAATACCTGCTTCAAGGAGAGTCTAAAGCTATAGATTAATAGAAAAAGGACAGTGGCCCTTTTAAAAAGAGCACATCATGTAAGTGAGACCTTGTACAAAATGCTTCCTAATTTAACGTCTCTCACCACCCTGAGTTTCTATCAACACCATCACTATGACCTAGGTGGGGAGACCAAGGGCCAGAGCCTCTTCTGCGAGAAGGATAGACTCCAAGTCCATCTCTCGATTCCCTTCATAGATATACTACATGTTGACTGTGTGTCCTTGGGCAAGGCACTTAACATCTCTGGACCTCATATCCTCACGTGTAAAAGACACAACTAGCCCTGAAAAGAACTGTATGTGCTCAGGGCAGACTAGGGGCAAAGGCACAGCCCTGGAAGCGGCCTCTTGCACAGAATTTTAGTTTACAATCCAGCTTCACCCTGTGAACCCCAGGCTGGGATCTGAAGATGGATGGAGAATTCTGGCTTCCATCATGGCCTTGAGCTGGAGTAGCTATTCAAATTCCCCTCTCTTGACCTGAGCTAGACAGGATCCAGAGACTGCCAGTCTATGGGTATTTGGCAGGCAGGGGAGCCAGGCTAGCCTGGAATGAGGACCAGAGACAGCCTAGGGCCTTTCCTGTCAGGAACCACATACCTTGGTCTCCCTGGGCCTCTGAAGTCATGAGGAGAATTCACCTTCCAACATGAGTGGGTGAACACCCCCACCCCCACACAAAGTGGCTTTGAATGTTCATATTCAGGACCAGCCATCTCAACAAATCCAGGAAGATTTATTGGAGCAATGCCCCAGTGCAAGACAGCATTGCTCTCCATGCCAATTCAGATACTCGGAGAGGCAGGGCTGCCTGAGCTCCAGGTCAGCAAAGACACTGAGGCCTCACGGATGCCCTGTGAGGATGCAGGCTGCGCTCTGTTAGCCATTTCTGGCACAGGCACTAGAGGAGGTGGTGGTGGGGATGGTGGTATGTTGTGAGTTCATATTTGTGACTGATGGCTGGTTCACATTGAGCTGAAAGGGCCCAATGTCCATGCCTGAGAACCAACGGTCCCCAGAGTCTAAGGCCCAAGGGACAAGAAAAGACAGCATGCTGGCAGAGGCAGGAAGGACAGGAAGACACATCAAGAAAAGGAGAGCCCTGCTGCAGGTGATGAGATGGTGGGGGGGGGCCACCAGTGGGTGGGGATGGTGGGAGGCTGGGGTGACCCAAAGGACAGGGCAGAAAGGAGGGCCAGTGGGGATGGTTGCCATGAAGTGTGTTTGGCCAAGCCGGGAAACTATTCAACCAATATGTGCTGTACACCAGGTGACAGGTTGTGCGGGCGGCTGGGGCTTCATCAATGGTCATGTGTGTCCACTCTCCAGGAGCCGTCTTGTGGGGAGATAGAAGTGTGTGGGCACACAGTATTTTGAAGGAAAGGGGTGATAGGGAGAACAGAAAGAACTGGTGATATAGAATGGAGACCCAGGAGGACCTCCCGTTCCCCACACCATGAGAAAATGAGGTGACATTCATGCTAAGGCCCAGGCGGACAGTAGGATTTACTCAGGAAAAGGGAAATGGCATTTTCAGAGGCCCAGGGTCAAGGGGCTGCTGAGCCCTGAGGCCTGACAGCAGAGACAGACTTAGCAGCCGGGCTCACGGCCCGAGGTGGCAAGCGTACCATGTAGTAGTCATAGAGAAAGCTCAGGGCTGCAACACTGTCGTCATCCCCATTAACTCTCATCATGGCTTTGGTGGCGGCCGTCAAAGGGTTCTCCAGGTACGTCTTCCAGGCCTCGTCCTCATTAGTGTAGGGAAACTTCTGGAAGCTCACAGGGTCATTCTTTAGCAGTCGCACAGACCTGAAACTGCAGGCAGATAAGAAGGGTCACTTGAGGATGGAGAGTTGGTGACGTGCTTGCCACACAAGCATGAAGGGTTGAGTTTGGTCCCCAGGTTTAAAAAAAAAAAAAAAAAAAAAAAAGCCAGATGCAGTAGTGTGCTCCTTTAATCCCAGCCTGGGGAAGAGGAGACAGCAAGGTCCCTGGGACTCACTAGCCAGGTAGTCTAGTCTAGATGTGAGTTCCAGGTAAGTACCAACCTCAAAAATATGCAAGATGGAGAGTATGTGAGGAATGACAGAGAAGGTGGTCATCTGCTCTCCACATGCATGCACACATACATGCACATATACGTGTGCACCAGCACATGCACAAGCATGTGTACATACTTGCATACATATGCATATGCAAACGCAAACACACAAATAAGAATTATCTCTTCTAGGTTCAGAGGAAGGTCCCCAAGACACAGCTCCTGCCACTGCCAGGAGGCACGATCCTAGGAACGTGAGACTTCTTCCTCGGCCACCTTAGGCCACCTTAGACTCGGATACAGATCAATGCCAAATTGATCTGCTATGCAGAAGCTGCAGACCTGGGGTCTGAAGCCCTGGTCTCCGACACAAGGACCATAGTGTTGGCCAACCTTAGAAGGCCTCCGAGAAGTTCCATAGAGTGCTGCCATGGCAACACTGTCCACAGGGAGTCATGGCAACACTCTTCCAGCAAACGAAACTTGCAGACAGTGCGGCATGACTCCTGAGGTTGTCCTGAGACCATGAAAGGCACAGAGCCCTGCAGATGATCAAATCGAGAAACACAGTGAAGGACAGGACATCAGAGCAAGAGAGCTGGTGGGCAGAGCCTGGTCCTGGGGAGTGGCATTTTGGACTGACATGTATGGTAGGTTCCCGAGTAGCTGCTCATGACCAGGCAGAGTAGTTGCTCATGACCAGGCCGAGGCAGGGGCAGCCTGACACTGTGCCAAGACACCCATATAAATACAAGGCACTGTAGCCCAGGGACGAGCTGCGTGTATGGGCTCAAAGAAAGAGATGGAGGCAAACAGGGAGCAACGATGATTACAAAATCAACCTCTAGCAGGGGATGGGATCGGGGAGGTGCAAACCTACTGTTAGTACTCTGGAGGCTGAGGCAGGAGGATTGCAATTCCAGGCCAGTCTGGGCTACTGTGTGAAAGCCTGTTTCAAAAACAAAAGACAGTGATAGCTTGTCATTGCTGTGCCCTGGCCATGTTCGGGCACTGAGCCTACACACAGACCATGCACTGTCCTCAGTGAAGGCACAGCTGTTTTTTCCACTGGTGGAGGAGACAGCTCAGAGAGTGGAGGAGCTTCCAGGGTCCAGTACTGGAGTGGCCTCATGCTCTCAGACTTGAACCAGGGAGAGCATGGCCCGCTGGTTAAAACACAACCGAGGCCACCCCTAGAGTCTTTTGATTTGAGAAAGGGTCCCACATAGCCCAGACTGGCATCAAACTTGTGTAGCCAAGGATGGCTTTCAGCATCTGATCTTTTCTGCCTCCACCTCCCAAGTGCTGGGATTGTAAGTGTGGGCCACTGTGTCCGGTTCATGTGTTGTTGAGGACAGAACCCAGGGCTTCACCACGCTGGGCAAGCACTCTCCTAACTGAGCTACACTCCCAGCCCAAGGGTTTCTGACTCCCTCCAACCGGGGTAGCTGAGAGTGTGAACATCTAACAGCATCCTTGCTGCTGTTGCTGCCGCCGCTAGCCCCGGGGACCACACTTGCAGAGTGTCCGGGAATGTGTGGGTGCGGTCACCCGCAAAGCTCTCCTGATTATTTTAGAGCACACAGAAAGTGAGAGAATGGCTGCCCAGCTCAAAGGTCAAGTGGGGTGTTCAGGTCTGCTGGGGCCCCAGAGCCCCCCTTTCTATAAGGGGCACATGGGTCCTACTGACTCGCCCTGCTAGGGTCTTAGGAACAGCACCAGATGCCGTGAAACATGGCGTCTGGATTGCTCCCACTCGGCAGCTTTGCCCCTTACACGTTACTACATGGAGATGACCTTGCTTCACCTAACAGATGTAGGAACTATGGACTCGGACAGAAAAAGAAAACACCTACGATCAGTCAGCCAGTCAACTACCCAATTGGGATTATTATTATTGTGTTTTGTGTAGCCCAGGTTGGCCTTCAACTCACTAGGGATTTAGCTGGGAATGACCTCTTTTATTTACCTCTTAAGTGCTGGGATTATAGGGGTGCAGCACCACGCCTGGTCTATGCAGTGCTGGGGACTGAACCTGGAGTTTCGTGCATGGTAGGCAAGCACCCTACTAACTGAGCTACATCCCCAGCCCACACCCAGGATTTCAACTCGGTCTCCTCCAGCTCCCAAGACATGTGCTTTCCACTAGCCACACTGCTCCCTGTCCTTGACCCAAGTCTTCACCAGAGCAAGAGGCTACCCTGGTGCTGGAGTTGCAGGGGTTGTGCCGGACCATTGGGTGGGCAGGGGCCTCTAGGAGGCTCTTGCAGGAAGTGTACGCCTTGCTGCCTCAGGTGTACCTCAGGTACAGGCTTTCACTCGAGTGGAATTGTCAGCCAAGCCGAGCCCAGGCAGTGCAGACTACAGGGACGATTCCTCTGCAGTGTCTACCGTCCCGCTGGGCCCCCGAGGTGTAGGTGTCTGGGACTCTGAGAGGGAGGCAGCAGGAACTGTCACACAGGAAAGAGAAATGACAGAAACCTTCCTGCTTTAGGAGCATGAAGAGTGAGGCACACCCAAGTTTCTGTTGCTATAAATCAAGAAGCCTTCAGACAGAGTAGTGTGAGGTGGCCCCTCCTCACTGAGCCTGGGGTTAGAGGAATTTACCAAACGTGCCCCTGTCCCTGCCAGGCCCCAGGCTATAGGGAACTCCCTAAGATGGCATGGGACAAGCAGGGGATGTCTGAGGGTCCTTACCTTCCCTGGTGCCCCACTGGTCAGCAAGGCCGACCGGGGCTCACAGTGTTTCTCATTTATGAATAAGGATCGTAAATGTAGGACTGTGAAGACTGAGAACATTGATTCATACTTGGGAAAATGCTTAGCACCCTGCCTGGCACATAAATGCTCAACGCACACACGCCCTGTCGGCACATAAGAAGCACCTAATGTATGCATACCTCACCGACGCTCAAGGCTGGCTTGGAGCTAGATGCTGAGAGGGTGCTGTATTGCCAGCCTGGTCATACACAGGTCTGAACTCCCGTTCCTGGTCCACTGACTAAGAAATGGCCAGTCTCAGTTTTGTAGGACTATCCATTTTCTGACCCTTTTTGTAAAAGAAATTTTAAAAGGCAGTAGAGTCATAACCCAAAACAAAAGAACAGAGTTTTCATATGGGGGTCCTCCTGGGCTACAAGGGTCTCCAATGCTTCCCTTGGGATCCCAAGTCTGACTCCTTAATAAACAAGTTCCTCAGGTATCTTAAACATCTATCATAGACAGACACCGTGCCAACTGTTTCTGGGTGGCACTTCATCTGTCACACACCAGCTCTGAGACACGAATGCCACTATCCCCTTTGACAAAAGGAGAAACGGAGACTCGAACAATCACCATCTAAGGGCCACTCAGCCAGGAAGTGCGGGGTGGCTCAACTTGAACTCGGACCTCTTGGACTCCAAGTATCAGCTCTCAGTCCCCGCTCACCTCCACTCTCGATGCCTTTCCTAGTCTGGAAAATTCCCTCCTCTGGAATACACTGAACCAGTTCTCCACAAGGCTCCGAGGAATTTCCCACCCACACAGGCAGGAGGCACGAGTAGGTGAGACAATGATAGGAAGAGTTTCTGGGCAGGAGCTGAGAGCCCTCCAGTCCTGGTGCCCATGCCCGTGTTTGCCACCAGCTGGCCTCACACTTTAAGGATAAGCATTTGGTAGCCGGGCGGCGGTGGCGCACGCCTTTAATCCCAGCCCTCGGGAGGCAGAGCCAGGCGGATCTCTGTGAGTTCGAGGCCAGCCTGGGCTACCAAGTGAGTTCCAGGAAAAGGTGCAAAGCTACAAAACCAAAAAACAAGGATAAGCATTTGGCTTCCTGGATATCTTGACTGTGCATAGGGCCAGCAGAGTTCTGTGCCAAACCCTGACATCAGGACCCGGGCTCTGTGCTCTTTCAAAGACTACAAGGGCCGAGGGCCCAGTGGTGAGGCAGAACCGAACATGAAAGAAGCTGCTACAGGCTCAATGGGACAGGGCTTCCAAGAAAGAATTAGCCCTTTTCACGAGTGACAGCTCAGAACAAAGGGGAAGCCAGGTGATACCTAGCCTATGAGGTCACCTTCCCTAGGTTCTGCCCAGATTCTCAGTTCATGTCCCTGTCCAAGACAGAGAGCGGGAGAGCTAATCGGGAAAGGACCTGTCCTTGGGCCACATTTGTGATGACCTCAGATCTTATCAGGGCACAGCACAGAGAGCCCAGTGCACCATGGGAAGAAGAAACACAAGCTCATGAGTTGGGGAGCTGTGTGCTCTTGAGGAAGGAAGGCACCCAGCCTTCTCGGCTGATTTCCCCATCTATTAAATGGGTCTATTGAACGTTTCCCACGTGCCAGTCAAGGGCTCTTCTAGGCCCTGGGAAATCAGCCAAGTCCAAGGCAGATAAGGCTCAGCTCCCATGGAACTTTTTGTCTAATTGGAGCAGACAGACTATAAACAGGCAGGTGAGTTAATTTTAGTTCGAGATAAATGCTGGGAAGAATATTAATGAGAACACAGCACTATCACACAGAGTCACCCAGGGTGGCTACTTTACAGCGGAGTTATTCTCTCCTGGGTTGTTAGGAGAATTATATGCATTAACATAAGAAATGTGCTTATGAGCCTGCCAACCATAATGGCACTGTAAATAGGCCCTCATCATCATGGCCATCACCCCAGCACTCCAGGCTGAGAGTAGAGGGGAGACTGCCTGAGGTCCCTGGATGATCACACACCCCAAACCCTGGGCTGTGAACCAGCTCTAGTCAAAAGACAAGGGAGACAGTATAATAACCCCTTGCCTTGCCTTTCGAAGTCCTTATCTGGCGGAGACTCCTAACACACATGGTGGTTATTATTCCCACTTTAAAGACCCTGAAATAGACAATGGAGACAGGAGGTGACCTGGGAACCTAGAGTAGACAATGGACACAGGAGGTGACCTGAGAATCTGGCCTGGGAACTCCATGGTAAGTCCCTTTTACACCAAAGGATGGAAGACAAAGGAAAGCCCAGGAAACTCGCATGGTATCCCACGTCACTTTAGCCAATATTCATCAAGTGACTGCCATGGTCTAGCCCCTGTTCTAGGGACAGCAAGACAGGGTTCTCCTGGTCATCATGGAGGAGGAAGACAAGACAGACAGCCAATACCAAATAAGTGAAGAACACGGAGCCAGAGGCCTTGTGCCTGCCTGAGTTAATGATGGATGTTTATTAAGAGGGGGAGGGTACAGGGAGAAGATGTCTGTGGAGGACCTGAGACCTTCTGAGAAGCAAGGTCAAAGGTCTCAGCCTGGGCCTGGCCCTACTGTGTGCTGGGTGTGAGGCAGGTGCTTTGCATGTATTGTCTAGATTCAAGGAAGGCCAGCCGGGACTGGGGAGGAACCGCAAGTCCAGGATTTGATAATTCCTCTCATTTGCATAGTGTGCTGTTTTTTCAACACATACCCGTCATCCATCTGTCATATCTGAGGTCCTGTAATGTGCCTGTAAGGTAGGGAGGGAAGATATGACTGTCCCAATTTGATAGCACAGAAAACACCCATGGACAGGGCTCCTGATCCGCATAAAGCCACCTGCTGGTACTGACACATCAGGCCCGAACTGGGGGCACCATGACACCGCATCCAGAGCCTTCACCAAGCTGCTGCCCCAGAGCCTCCCATCCCATCTTCTCCAGTGGAGAGAGAGGCCTCCAGGCCTGGCTGCTGAGGCCTGGCTGCTGAGGCCTCTTACGGGCCAGCAGGGGTGTGCAATCCGCCTGGCCGGGGTTCCGAGGCAGTCGAGCCTTTCCCTGGCACTGGCGGGGTGCAGTATCAGCTGTCTCATGTCCAGTCAGCCTCATGCCGTGACTCACGCACGTCCCAACACGGAGGAAGCCGAGAGTGGAGAAGCACGGCTTTATGCCAGCTGTGGTCTGACTCACTGGGGCTCCTGCACTGGGGCTGAGCCACTCCAGATCCCCAGGGACATGAAGTAGATGCCACCCCAGCTGCACGTTGAGACCTTCCTGTGCCATTTCCTTCTGTTAGAATCCTGGCAATTCCAGGTATCGGCAGCCCTTAGACACGAAGTCCCAAAGAAGTGGTAAGACCTAACAACACCCAATGCAGAAAGGAGTCTAGAAGCATCTCATCCTGTTCTGAGGTCAATAACCGTACCTGTCAAAGGCATCTCAGTAATCCAGGGGTGCGTGTGCGTTTAGCAGAGTGGGAGGAAGGCTACCGCCCAAGGGGGCAGCCTCAAGCCTCACCTATGGAAGTACCTAGCCCAGGAGAGATTGGGCAAGCTGGGTTCCAATTCCCTAAGCCTAAGGAGGAAGAGTTCCAGGGGCCACCCGAACTGGGTGTTGACACCCAGATACACCCAGTTAGTGACTTGCCAAACCCAGCTGTGAGCCACCCAGCTTCATCAGCAGTAATCAATCACACTCACCAATCACCCACAGGGACGCCCTACCACGGCGGCTCACAGAGGAATCATTTTTCAGCCAGCCCCACGCAAGGTGTTCCTGAGCATGACAGGGGCGCCCCAGGGTTCTTGTGCTTGCCAGTGGCCCATCTGGTTTTCTGGCTGCACATGTTGTGAAATGTGCCTTGCCCACATGAAACGGGGGCTCTCTGGGGTGCTCTCACTGGGGGAGATGGTAGAATACAGGATATGAATGTGTGGCAGCTCCAGTTTGAATGAGGTAGCATGCCTATCTGGTTGGAGGGGTGTGCCCCAATGCTATTCGGACCTGGGTTCCAGTCTTGCCTTTGCTGTGTGACTTTTAGCAAGTGACCTGACATCTCTGTACCTTTGTGGGAAGATGAGAGTGAGAATCTCACCCAAGTGTGATGATAGGGATCATTCATTCAGGAACCACTAAGTACCAAGCTGAAATTATTCTACTTGTGGTCTTTCATTTTTACAGTGAGTCCGCGCAGTTTCGCTAGTGAAAGATGCAGTGAGATAATTCGGGTCAAGTGCGGGTATGTAATGATGCAAACTGTTCCTCCATTATCACCCCAGCGCTCCTGCTGAACGGTCATTCCAGCCCCACTTTCTCCTCTCTCTCAGACAGGTCATCTCTTTCTGGAAGCCGGCTGGTAAGAGCACAGGCCACTTCCTCCTCTGGATCCAGGTGGGCAAGCTGATGGAGGCCAGGTTCCAGATACATGGCTGGCTGCGTTCGAATTAATTACATGCCGTTTCTTAATTATACTAGAAACTCGCTTTCTGCCCTTTGAAAAACTCTCCCCTGTATGGGAATTTTTCTTTTACACTCTGTTCCCTTGGCTCCTTGTCTGATTTTTTTTTTCTTTCTCTACTGTCCAATAGAGGTGTGGGAAAAAAAAATTGAAATCTATGTCTCAATCAGAGAGCTGTGCCTCTTCCTTCAGTTACTCACTGATTCATTCAACAAACATTCGCTGAGGGTTATTCTGTGATGAATGGCGTGTGCTGGGTGGTGGGGACACAATGCTGACTCTACCCTCCCCTGTCCCCAGTTCTCGATGGCTCCTTGAGAAGACTCAAGGGAATAACTCTACATGAATGCATATGCATATATATGTATACGTGTGTGCGCCTGTGTGTGTGTGTGTGCATGCACATGTCTGCTGTGTAATATCATGTGTGTTCAGAGGACAGCTTGCAGGAGGCAGTTCTCTCCTTCTCTCATCTCGGCCTAGAAACCGAACTCAGGCCATCGGGCTTGGTGACCAGTGCCTTAACCTGTCGAGCCTTTGTGGGAGGCAGATGGAGAAGAGCGAGGGAGAGAAGTCAGGGAAAGGAGCTGAATGATGGCCCCTGGCCTTCCCACCCACGTACTGAAAGGTGGGTGGTTTTTTGTTTTTTTGTTTTTTTTTTAAATCACTGTGTTTTTTTTTATGCATGCAGAAACTGATATGAAGAGTTTGTTACCAATTCACAAGCTGTAGAGCTGGGCTTTAAACACACAGGCGTGACCCTGTGTGTGTATGTGGTGTGTGTGTGTGTGTGTGTGTGTGTGTGTCTGTGTCTGTGTCTGTGTGTGCGCATGCTCTTGCTCTAGGTCTGCTGACTCAGCAGGACTGTGGCCAACCTGGGAACCTCCTTTCCCTAAAAGTCCTCTACCTGGTCTTCTAGGCCAGTGGTTTTTAATACTCGAACACACATCAGAATCACCTGGGAGGCCTGTTAAAACAAATGATGGCCAGCCCCACCCCCAGAGTTTATGATTCAGTACATCTAGGGCAGGGCTAAGAATTTGCATATCCAAGTTCCCATGTGAGATGAGCCAGGGACCTCTTTTTATTTATTTACTTACTTTCAGTGGTGGGGTTGGGGTTTGAGCCCAGCGCCTTGTACATGCCAGGCAAATGCGCTAACTGAGCTACACCGCCAGTCACAGCAGCTACATTCTGAGCATGGTGTTCTGGATGAGCCAATAATAATTATTTCTTAAAGATAATAACTCTCTCTTCCCTTGCCTCATTTCAAAAGTTACACAGGCTTGTAAAACACAAGTATATAAAAATGTGACTCGGGTGTGGTGGCACACACCTATAATCCCAAACCCTGGTGAAGGTGAGGCAGGAGGATTACGAGTTGAAAGCCAGCCTGAGCTACTTAGTTCCAGACAGGGTACACAGAGGCACTGTCTCTTATACAAGGAACCTACAGAAAAAACAAAAAGCAGGGAATTGATCTACGTTCTTATACTTAGTGTCTAGGCATAGAAGTTTCAGTTTCTGGTTGAGATCCAGGTGAGACCCCAGCTCTTCCAGGAGATCTTGGCTAGTCAGTGTCCCTTGACACGCCCATCCCTCTTGAGGTTACAGAGAAGGACAAATGAGACCGGCTGATCAAGCGCTTGTTAGGTGGTCTAATGTGTAGTCGGGGACCTGGGCTCGGCCACTGTCCCTCTTTTTGTCTGAACCTCGCACAAGGCATGGGAAGCTGGCCGGGCCTGCACGGGGTCAGCGCGCTTCCCAGACCGCGTGCGCAGCCGCTGCCGTTACTACCTCCACTCTTGCCCCCGCCCCCGCTCCGCCCCGTTTTACAGCCGGAGCTTGATGAGGGCTTTTAACTTTTCATTCACCAGCCCCGTAACTCCGACTTTTAATAACACACCTCCTGCACGACAAAAATTTGCTCCTGGCAATCATGGTTTCGACCACAAAACCGCAGCGGGGCGGCGCTCCGGGTTAACTCTTTCAGCACTGTGGACCGGGGTGGAGGGGACACGTTGTGAGCCCTCAAGCCTTGGGCCTTCCTCCGTGGTCATTCTCCAGTCTCTGTTCCCAATAGCAGAGGGCTCAGGCTGCCGGATGCAGAGGCCAGGGTGCTGAGGCATGGTATCCTCAGGATGCACCAACTGTATACCAATGGTGGTGAAGCCCTCCATCTCTCAGCAGGTGTAGGACACTTAAGAGAGTCCAAAGAGGCCAATGGTCACCAGGGATCTGGCTCTCGAGAGAGCCACAGTCTCCAGACTAGCCTGACGGCCCATTTAACCAGGCCCGTGGTGGGCAGGGTGCGAGTCCAGGCTGTGTTCCCTGAGAAGCCAGAAGGCTACAGCCGCAGGAACCCTCGCAGTCTGCTCTCGCCGCCCGCCGGGTATTGCTAGGCTGCGGGCTGGAAGCACCAGGGGGGCTGGCAGAGGCGCCAGGCACTGGGCCTGACCACATGAAAGGCCGGGTGCTCACCACCCACCAGCTGCCTGGAGCTGGTTTCTGACTACACTGCCTGGCCTTTCCAGGGCCACCTCCCACCGGAGGCCTGGGAATGGGGCTAGTGATCCAGGTGGTCCTCTACCAGAGCTCAGTGTTCCCCTGCCAGGTAGGTGTGGTCATAGTCCCCATTTTACTAGTGAGGAAGCTAGAGTGAGGGAGGGCAAACTCATTCAACTTGACTGGAAGCAAATTCAAACCTGACTTTTCACCATTGCCCCAGGGCCGACAAAGCTGTTCATTCTCTGAGGGATGGAGATGGCTGCTTGGCCTAATACGATTTTCCAGGCAAGGCTCTTCAAGACCAAGGCAGCAGCAGCAGCAGCAGCAGCCACTTAGAACTTGCAAGCCAAGCATTTCACACACACACACACACACACACACACACACACACACACACACACACACCAGCTATAGGAACAGCTGAGCCCTCAGGGTCAGCCATTGTAATCGCAAATAGTAGCTTCAAAGTTGGCCTGCAATTACTCACAGGTACAGGCTTCCAGGAATGGAGAATCCTCTACTGTCAGCTGATTTGACTTCAAACCCAAACCATTATGGACAAGCAGAAAACCTTCTGTTCAAATAGGCCAGCTTCAGGACACATACCCCCTAAGGAGCAACCTGAATAGATTGTCTGCAGTCTTGGCAGCTTTAATTGGCATTCTAAGTTGTGCTGGAGACATACCTCAAGTGTGTGTGTGTGTGTGTGTGTGTGTGTATTTTCAAAGTATGGGAAAATAAAAAGTAAGAGGGTTCAGAAATGCCCAATTGCTCATTCCTCCATGAAGTGAGGATGGCATTATTCGCATGCTCCCTTCGAGGCTTTAAAGCAATGGCTGTTCTAAAATTCAATCCCTTAACAACTCCATAAGCACTACTACTGGTCACAGTCTACAGGTAAGGAGGCTAGGGCTTGGGTAATGACTTGCCCAAGGCCACTCAGGTAATAAGTGAGGAGTGGAGACTTGAACCCAGGTGCCAGGACAGTGCTCCTACTTTTACTTAGTTGTGGTCCAGTTGTCAACACATTGTACCAAGAATCCATTCAAAAAGAAATCTGACGCTCGTCACATAATCATTATGTGATTCACATAGTGAATGGAGCTGGCCGAGCCAGGCATACCTAAGAGCTACCAGGTATGCTGGAGTCCTGTCTGTGTTAGGATCCACCGACTCCTCTGTCTTTAAGTGTTTAAATACTTAACCTGCCGAGGAAAAGCTCCAAGGAGAGAGACAGAGATAGGAAGGAAACAGAACTGTTCAACTCTCCCATCTGCTCACACACCTTGAAAGATGGGAGGAAAGGGAAGCTGGTGTTTAAGAACTCCGGCCTTTTCCTGCTAGCTCCCGGTCCACACCCTAACCTTATCCCATCCTCTCTAAGTCTGGACCTGAAGCCGAGGCCCAGAGTGAGGTCAGCATCAGCCAGTCGGGAATTCTGAATCCCAGATGTGGGCAGGAAGGCACCTGCCAGGCAACACAGATGACCTCACCGAAAATCACGCCTCGGCTTCCCCAGTTTTAGAACTACCGTAGCTGCCTCTGGGTAAAACTGACCACATTTTATTGAACTCAGCTTCTGACCTGGCTCTTTGGTAAGCATTTTACAACTTTCAGCACATTTAAGAACCCTACAAAAACATTCTTGTTCCCATTCTTCAGATGAGGAAAATGAAGCTCAGATAAGTCGAATGACTTGTTCAAGAATGAACAGCTTGGGAGGGACAGACGCTGGGTTTGAACTTAAGGAAAACCACTACAGAGAGCATGTATTCAGCCACTACTGTCTCTTGAGATTGTTCCAACTCAACAAACAAGTACCTTTAGAGAAACTCAACTCTTTGCCTAAGACAGCTCCTAGAGCCGCCTCAAAGAAGTTCCCTTTGGCAAGAGGAGAGAGAGCGTCCACGGGGCTGAAGTGTCTCTGATTTCCAAGGCCCCTTCAGAGTATCAAAACACCATGCCAAAATTCACAGTTTCAGCCAGCCCTGTGTTTCTCTTCCTCGAAACTGCTCAGCCCAGAGAGAAAGAAAAATTATTTTCCCAGGGAAACAGTCAGCCCTAGATAGAGAGCTGAACGTGCCTCAACACGCCAGGGCAGGATCGTCAGCCCATTCATTCACCCTTACAAATTGCCGTGTGAATCCTGGCGCCGGCCTCCCTGCTCTTCCCTCTGCAGGAAACCCCAGCCAGCCTGGGTGTGCTGGGGAGGCCGGGACGCCGGGCAGCCACCGCTTTACTCACTCAAGTTCATTCGACATCTTCCTTCTCCGAGGTCGGGCTCCAGCGATCCTGCTCTAGGTACCCAGGCGCCGCTGTTGCCTGCTGGTCTCTAACTCGCGGCTGACATGGACATCCCCTCCCTGCCCGGGGAAGTGTCTGATTTCTGTTGAGCTGTGGATGTGGAGGTTTTGCTGACAGCGGCTCCCTGCGGCGTTGGCGCTGATTGGCTGCGGGCACAGGTGCCGACTGCAAGTACTTCGCAGCAGCAGGTGCAGCTGTTAACGCTTGGCCCACCAGCAGGGGCGGAGCTCTGGGGGGCTGACCGGGTGGAGCTGGCCAATTCCCTCCTTGCTCAGGGGGTGAGGGGGTGGGGACGAGGGAGGAGGGAGGAGACAGATGTCGGGAAGGAACCTCGGGACTAGAGGAAAAATACAG